TCAGGCTGCGGGCTCACATCTGTGCTGATGTGGGCTGGCGTGCGCTGAGGGGAGGTGCACGCGCCCCTGGGCATGCAGAACCGTGTAGGTGAGGGCTGTCGCTGCCGTGGGGGCACGGCGCTTCTGTGCAACGCTCAGGCTGTGGGCTCACATCTGTGCTGATGTGAGCTGGCATGCGCTGAGGAGGCAGCGTACAGCTTGGGCTGAGAGCGAGGTTTCCCACTGGAGTCGGTCTGCTGAAAACATTTACTTTGACTGCTGTGTCACTCACGCGTGCATTTTGTGTGTTTTATTGGGCTGCGGTGATTTAAAACCTGTTTGGAGGACACCGGCTCGCTTTATGTGGAGGATGTGTGAGGAAAAGCCGCTGTGAGATCATACGAACTGACAGTCAGGCTGAAATCAGACACTTTAATTCCTGAATGATGTTTACGTTTTATTCCAAAACTCAAACCATCATTATGCACACACACATCCTCTGGAATGAATCACTGAATCAATGAATCATCATCTTCTCCCCGTGAGCCCTGAGGCTTGTCGGGATGAGAAGGGCTGTACTTTGATGGGAGGGGCTGGCGGCGGAGCGAGAAGATGCTGCTGCAGCAGTGGCGTGTCTCTGCTGTCTCGGCCATGGCACTCTCTCCAGCGGGCGGGGGGGCGAGAGGAGTGGTGCGGCTTGATCAGATGGCGCACAATCTCTGACACCTCCTTCGGCTTCTTTGGTTTCTCGAGCATGTCCTTGAAAATTGGCTCCGAACAGCACGTACGTCGTGATGCAGCCTTCTAGCGAGTCCATCTGCAGCTTCTCCGACAGGGAGGGGAAGTGACAAGCCAGGTGGACCTCTGAACCATTGCCATCCAGGCTGCAATGCGAGACAGGCAGACAGCAGACGAGGCACACAGGTTGAGGGTGACGTCAGATGCCTTGCAGAGGGAGCTCTTAGCCTCCTGAGGCAGGTCTGTCCCTCTGGCCTCTGAGATGCTGTGCGTCAGCAGCGCAAAGTTATTGTTCGCAGTGGCGGACTGGAAAGCACACTGGTGAGCTCGGTTGGAGCGCGACGTCACCATCTGGTCATGCTTCCCCTGAGGCGCAGGACACTGGTCCAAACTGGACATCTTTGCTCCGACAGCCTCCACCAGGCTTGGCTCCAGGGGGGCACCGAGGGAATTTCCGCTCAGTAAAACCCCTCCACTCTGGTGATGGACGCGAATGTGGAGACCGGCACTCTCAGTCTACCAGGTCCGGCTGCAGCCTCGTTCCAATAGGACGTCACTGCTGGGAAATGAGGCCAGATGGGATCAGGACGGCGAGTGTAGATGAACATATGCTATATATATTCATAAATTAAACGGATTCTTTCATTTTTCTGGACTGAATAATAACGTGCATTGAATTTAATTAAATGTAACGTGAGGCGTTAATTTTCTTTGACCCATCAAATGAATGTGGTCATTTATTTACAGAATCAAAGTTTAACACATCACACATTTACATTAATTTGGCAAAATATGAAAATAACAACAGCTTATTAATCAGTTTTACAAGGAGGAAACAATACGGCGATTGTTTCCCTTGCTTCCAGCTGTACAACAGACACTTCTAAAAATATCTGGATTAATTTGCTAGCAGATAGAAAAGTTTAAAGGTGGAAAATGAAGTTTATCTTGAGAGAGATGGGTGAGGGAATTTGTCTGTTATAACCAGAACAACACGCTCCTTTGGACCAGCTTAACCCAACGGTACACTTTGGTTGAGATCGACTCTTTACCTTTGCAGATGATAGTTTCAGCGTTGGTGTAGAGCTTTCCTTTCAACTCTTCCAGCGTCTCCGTAAGAACAGCTAAACCTCAGGAGTCGTGAGATCGTCCAGAACAGACTTCATAGTTCCTCTGAACTTCTCTCGTCCAGCTTAGTTGCAGATGTCCTGAGCATTCTGCATTCCAGCATTCTGAACTCTGCTGCTCTCGGAACCAACTCACAGCATTCTCTCAGCGTTCTCCTCAGCGTTCTTCCCAGAACTGCTGAGAACTCCTCAGAACTACTGAGCTCTCCAGAACTTCGACTGGAGCTGTAACCAGTTTAAACTAGGAAGTGTTGCACCTTTTAAAAAGGGTCACTTCCGGTTCATTTGAGGACTTTCTGATTGGTCGGTTGGACCAAACAGAGGTGTGTTTTTGTGATGTAAGGTGTTATTAAAAGACAAGGAAAAAGATTAAGATTGTTTAAGAACAGACAGAAGATATTATTGTAACCCCGTGGTTTTTTGTTCATGTCTGTTGTAATTATTAGAGAA